ACAGAGAGAGAGAGAGAGAGAGAGAGAGAGAGAGAGGGAGAGGGAGAGGGAGAGGGAGAGGGAAAGTGAGAAAGCAAGCCACTAGGTCCAGCATTCAAACCACGGTCGGCCTTATGAGAGTCCAGAGCATTTAACCAGGATATCATCTGTCAGCCCCTTTAATTCTTATATAAGCTTCAGAGCAGAAGCTGGATGTTTAGCTGTCCAAACCATGCCAGATTTAATGGGCTTTTCAGAGTAACAGTGTGGGAAATGGTAACCCAAAAGGGTTAATTTAAAATTGATAATTTAAAATGGAAAACATTATCATAACCCAAGGATTTTCCTTTACAGTAGAATATGAAGTGTTTTATCCATAGGGAATCTAAAAGAAAAGCCACATTTCCAGGTATTTCTTTATAGACTCTTCCATCCCGTCTTTTCAATGAGACAGGTTTTACTTTCTGTTCGATGAGCATCCTAGCTGACTGCTCATGTCCGTTAATATTGGTGCTCACTTGGTAGGCATTTACATGTTGCTTTATCAACGCCATTCTGAATTATGATACTAAAGAGCATTATTACTTATGGACTTAGGATTTCCACATTTTTAGCTTCAATTTATGACATTCAATTCTATCTATACATTGATTTTTTTTTCTCCATAAAGAATGCCCAATTTTTTTTTATCTATCTATTTATATTTTGGTAAGTAGAATGGATGTATGTAGTTTTAATTTTATTCAAGCCCTCTCTTTATGGCTTAATTTATCATGGCGGTATGTGTACTAGAATTGTGTTCATTTATTCTATGCTAAAATGTGGAAACATTTTTCCATGCTTGTGTTGGAAAATCTTATCCCTGCCCATGTAAAATGACTTAGGCTGTTTTTATTTTTAATGCAAGTCAGCCACATTTTGAAACTACTTAATGTCTACTTGTGGTTTCTTGTATTTATTATGAGAGAGAATATAGTTTTATATAGGGAGTATTATATGGATAACTAGCTCTGGATTTGGGGACACCTATCTTTGTGTTTCTTCACTTGTAAAACAAAGAGTTTTGACTAGATGATCTCTCAAATTCCTTCACTTCTAACATTTTACCATTCTATGAGGAATCCATAAGATCATTCTGAATCTAAGTATGAATCATGTCATCATTCTCAATCTCATATATTTTCACATCCTTGAGTTTGCCCACATAGTCCTTGCTATGAGCCTGGGTGTATATGAATTGTGTACTGAATGCTTTAAGGTAATCCATCATTCTGTCTATATTCATAGGGTTGCATGGCACACGTCAAGAAGAAATGATTGATCACAGACTAACAGACAGAGAATGGGCAGAAGAATGGAAACATCTTGACCACGTAAGACATCAGTAATCATTTAGGCTAAAAAATGTTTTGAAGCAACTGGAGTAAGATTATGTAATAAAATAAAAGCTTAGTGATACTTGGGAGGTATCACATTTCCTGCTATTTTTTGAAAAAAAAAAAAAAAAAAGCCCGAGAATGTTTGAAGTGGAATTTAGGATTTGATTTCTCAATTGATATGAAAGCCATATAAGGAAAATGTTTAAATCTTCAAAATGAATTCTCAAACCAGATCAGTGGGCTACTGTTTTATTTCAAAAGGATCATTTAGTTGATGGAGGAATGGGATTAGTATTTAGAATAGTGGATTTACTGGCTCTCTGCCTTCTGGGAGAAATCTCTGTCATGACTTATGTTCAGACCCCTTACATTTTCTCATTCCCATTGAAATTACTTATTTATCGGGTTTGAATTTCAAACCCAACCATTGGAAAGATGAGGATGAAACCTTCAGAGTAAAATTGCATCCTTCATTGTCCAGAAAAAGTTTGTCTCATTACCCACGGAAGTCTTTAATTTGTGCTGATTTATGTTTTTTTCCCTCTTTCTCATGTAGCTGTTAAACTGCATAATGGACATGGTAGAAAAGACAAGGCGATCTCTCACCGTCCTAAGGCGATGTCAGGAAGCGGACCGGGAGGAACTGAATTACTGGATCCGGCGGTACAGTGACGCTGAGGATTTGAAAAAGGGCAGCAGCAGTAGCAGCGGCCACTCCAGGCAGCAGAGTCCCGTCAACCCAGACCCAGTTGCATTAGGTATCTTCTCTTCAATGAGCATCTTGGGCACATATTTCTTATACTGGCTTATTTTTAACCTGTCTTTGCAAAAATAAAGGATACACAGGAAATTTTAGGACAATAAACACTTTATATATCTTCAAATATGTCTGGTCTATCTGTTAGGAAAGTGGGCACTTTGGCTTGATAAAGAGATCGTTAAAACACTTAAATGTCCTTGCCAAGTGAATGTATTGAGCTTCTGGAGCAGTTGGACAGTCTGAGTCAGAATTTCATGTGCATCACTAAACTTCGTGCTCCTTCATAATATTGCTATACAGGACCCTGGAAAAGCACAATCGCAGGGGATGAGCCCCAAGTTCTACACATCTAATAAAGTTTCTAAGGAATTCTTTCACTGCAAATTAATGCTTAATAGCATTGATCACAAGGATGCATATTTTCTATTTTTTTTTAGAATTATTTTATTTAACATTTATTTATTTATTCATTTATTTTCATTTGACCTGAGAGAAACAGAGTGAGAAAGGAAGAGAGAGAGTAAGAGAGTGAAAGAGAGAGAGAGAAAACAAGTAAGAAAGCAAGCCATTAGGTCTGGGATTTGAACCACAGTCAGCCATGTGGAAGTCCAGGGTCCCCAGCCACCTGCAGGCCCGTATTTTCTAATTTTTAGTTTAAGACACAACTTCCAAGACAGTCTTGTTTTGTAGCTCTATCTTTATTTATTTATTTATTTATTTTAATTTGCCAGAAGGCATGTGTACTTACTTACCAGAGAGAAAAAAGAGAGAGGAGAAAGCAACACAGCCTCCCTCCCCCACAGTGCGTCGTAGTAATGCTGCAATCTCTTCTGTTCCATTTCATCACCCTGTTGAGATTTGGGGCACATACTCTTGTACCAAGTCCGTTTCTCAGGCGGCCAGGGCCAGGATTTGAACCACGTGGTTGGCCATGTGGGATCCATCTCCTTTAAACACTAAGCCATGGGGCTGGCCCTTGAAGCTGTATTTTATATATTAATTAAAAAAAAATACCTTTTCTCAAAAACTCTTCAGTAATAGAGACCTAAAAGCTATGTAGTTTGTTTACTGTTACTTGAAAGTTAATGATGAAGATGCAACTTTTTTCTGCCAGTTTGGTCTTAGATTTCTGCATTGTAATTTTATTAATTCTACTTATACACCAGGACTATTAATATAACTGCGCCTTGGAAATGGATAATAAGCATTTCAGTAAACTTAGTATTGATTTTGGGGAACTGCTGGGGTCATAGATAGAATAAAATCCCAAATGTATTGAAAGAAATTTTCAACCTGGAAAAAGTTTTCAGTGGCCTGTGAACTTTTACCCACAATCATACACTACTGTTCATTATGTTTGTATACCATTTGAGTAAACTCAGCGAAGATGGGTTTGCACTGATTCGTATTTTTTCATCTTCTCTTTTCTGTTTAGCTCCATACTTGCCAACCAGCTCAGCTTAGAGCGCATGTTATAAAACAAAACTAAGCACAGATTAAGCCCATTACCCTGACCTCCTTAGTATCATGACTGATTATCAAAAACTAAAAACTTGACATCTATTACTTGGCTATTGAGCACACTATCTTTTTTATTAAAATACTACTTATTTCTAGTCAGTGAAGTTTTCTTTGCACTTAGCTTTGTGAGTTCCTGCTAATCCCTGAATGCTGAGTGTTTATTACTATAGAAAGTATTACATTAAAGGAAGATTCTGTGCCATTTAATTTGCCCAACAGGTATTATCTTGAAGTATATTTTAAAGACAAAAGTATATTTGTCAGGTTGCATTAAAGCAAGGGAAGAAAACAGAATTAAATTTGATTTGAACCAGTATTGGTCTAAACAGAACTGTTTAGAGCAGAGTAGCACAAACATCTTGTTTTTATTTCCTTATTGTGAACAAAAACTAGTTAATTATGGCAATTTGCTTAGGACAAACAAAGGAGACATTTGTGACTGTATATGCAGTGAATAGTGGACATCCTAGAAGTAAATAAGACTTAGGGAGTAAAATATCTGTTTTGGCTTGCTTTATGGAACACATTCATTGAGTTAGTGCTTGTTTATTTAGTGCTTACTACATGCTAGGCATTGTACTAGCTCTCTAATGAAGGAAAAAGATTCTTTATTCTTTTCCTTAAGGACCTTTGGATTTAGTGTAAGGGATAGGGAAGGGAAGAGCTGGTGTGTATGGATATAAACTGGCTACCTCAGTTCAGTCCCCTAGGTGGGAGGGATGGGTATTATTTGTCACCCACTGTAAAAAATAAAAAATAAAAAATAAATCAGGAATTGATTTGGCTTCATACCTAAGTGAGTTATCAGCACACAGAGCATGGGCCACTATAGTCACTGCTGTTAGAGATGGGTTCTGGTGATGTCAGTGTAAATATCATGTTTTCCAGGAAGATAGGTTCGGCTCCCTTGTTGTATAACCAAAAAAATAACCTTGGTTTTTAGAAATGCCTTCTTAAGCATACACAAATTATCCTCCTTTTTGTGATGCTTAATAAATTCATATGTTTGGTAAAGCTGAGTTGTTACTTTTGCTTTCAACTTATGTAGGCTATATGTAAAGACTATAATCCTGTATTTCTCTGTTTAGACCCTGTTAAAACAGTTACGTTCTTCATAGACACAGAACCCTAAATTGCCTGATAAGACACTATCCCAACTGTAGAGAGAACCTGTTGAGAGCCACACTGTGCACATTTTAGCATCCAACATTGTTTTCACTGTATATCCTTGCTAGTTGATTCTTGAAGTCTTGAATTTCATTTTTTGAAACTGGGCTATGGCTGTAAATAAGAGGATAGGTGGTTTATAATCATGGGATATAAATGTTTACATCAAGTGTTCTCTAATTCTCTCTTCCAGGCTTTGGTGTTGAATGTATTGATATGTATAATGAAAGGATTGGGGATTATTGACTGATAAATCTATTTTCTGCCACTGGGAAGTGTTTAATAGGGTCTGTGTACACAGATAAAGCTATGGATGTGTCTGTATCGTTATGTACGTGTAGATCTCTTTATCCTATGGTTATATTGTATGTTTCTTTTAGCTTATTGCTCTCAATTCTTAACCTACTGTCTGGCCTCAAATGAGACATTCAGAATATATAATAGAAGATATCTTTGGTTAAAAATATCACCTGTACTTATTTCCCTAACTTAAAACACTGAGATGTTTACTTGTGCACACATTCTTAACATATTTTTTAAAACATAGACAGTAAAGGGTTTTATTTCGGAAATAGTGTTTTCCTGGGGAAATGAATTTAGCAGGGAGGAAACAAAAGTCTTTGTATCTTTTTTTTTTTCCAGTCAAAGATATTACGATATGTATTATCATCAACAGATAATTTTCCATTTTTGTGTTTGTTAAATGTTTTACTTCTTTTTTTTCCCCTTGATTCCATCCTTCCCATTTCTCATCCTCCTCCCACACTGATTCTAGTACCCACAGTTGCTCTCCATGTTTTTATACCTTCCAGTCTTTCAATTTCTGCCATAAAGTGCAGACATTTGGTATATATTAAGTGGGGACATACAATGCCTCTCTTTCATAGACTGGCTTGCTTCACTTAGCATGAAATCTTTCATATCCATCCACTTTCTATCAAATGCCAGGGTCTTATTATATTTTTTTTTATTGCTGAGTAGTATTCCATTATGTATCTGTGCCATAGTTTTTCAATCTGTTCATCTGTTCTTGGACATTTGGGTTGATTCCTTGTCCTAGCAATTATGAATAATTCTGCAATAAACATGGATGTATAAGCATTTTTCTGGCTGAGTGTATTCCTATCCTTTGGGTAGATACCCAGGAGTGGAATTTACTGGATCGTATGGTAGTTCTGTTTGTAGGTCTGTCTTTGAGGAACCTTCATTTTGTTCTCCACAGTGGAAAAAACCTTTGTATCTTAATGAGGCAAAGGATTAAAACAAATAATTTGAATGCTGAAGGAACAATAAAAACAAAACTTCTGAGTAAATGTTCCAGTTCCAGCATCAGATTGCTTATGCTTCTAGAGAGCAAACTTCCTTTCTATAAAATGAGATAGAGGAGACACAACTTCCGTGACAGATGTGCTGCTCTTGTTTAGCTCAATTTCATCTCACTTTTGAAATACTTCCATAGTGCTAAACTGGCATAGAGAATTTGTAAAATAATGTGATTAATTTATTACTAGTTGAATTTTAGGAGTTTTCCTCAGATACTAAAGACTATTTTGAATAACCTTTGAGACATTGTTCAACACTTCAGTAGACGCTAAACTTGGAATGTTGTTTCTATTCTTTTTTTTTTTTTTTAAGAGATTTTTGCTGTAGAGTGTGTGTACTGGCCAGAGAAACAGAGAGACAAAAAGTGAGAAATTACCCTCCCCCTCCCCCCAGGGATGGCTATGCTGTAATCCCCAATCCCTTCTCCTTTATTCTCCTCCAAGGATTTTGGGTATGCATATATATGCACCAGCATGAGTTTCAAGCTGCCATGTGGGAGTCCAGTGACTTAACCACCATGCCACCTGCTCTGCTGTTCTCTTTATTTCTATTCTTTAAATAAAATATAAGTTGATCTCTCTCTCTCTTTTTTTAAAGAGCGATTTTTGCTATTGGGCACATGTGTTCATGAGACAGAAAGTGAGAAACCATCCTGAAGGAGGGATCTCCACACTGCAACAATCCCATCTCCTCCGTTCTCCTCTCAGGATATTATTGGACACAAATGCGTATATGCCCAGTGTGTTTTAAGCCTCTAGGTCTGGGATTTGAACTGCAGTTTACTACATGGGAGTCTAGCAACGTAACCATTATGCCATCTGCTGTTCCATATTTCTTTCCTTTTTCTTTTCTTTTTCTTTTCTTTTCTTTTCTTTCTCCCCTTGCCCCCCCCCCCCACCTGAGAGATTTTTGCTATAGGTCTCTCACTGGAGAGACAGAGAGAAAAAAAGTGAGAAATCACCCTCAGGAGGGATGGCCATGCCACAA